GGTGATGCATAGCAACGAGAGGGGAGAGTGTTGTCCACGTACCCTCGTAGATCGTAAGTGGAAGCGTTATGACAACGCGGTTGATGTAGTCGTATGTCTTCATGATCCGACCGATCCAAGTACCGAACGTACGGCACCTCCGAGTTCAGCACACGTTCTGCTCGATGACGATCCCCGGACTCCGATCCAGCAGGGTGTCGGGGATGAGTTCCGTCAGCACGACGGCGTGGTGATGATGATGACATTCTACCGACGCAGGGCTTCGCCTAAGCACCGCTATGATATGACCGAGGTGGAATATGGTGGAGGGGGGCACCGCACACGGCTAAGGAATGATCACGAAGATCAACTTGTGTGTCTAGAGGTGCCCCCGCCCCTGTATACAAAGGAGCCAAGGGGGAGGGGGCGGCCGGCCAAGGAGGGCGCGCCAAAGAGGAGTCCTACTCCCACCGGGAGTAGGATTCCCCCCCTTCCAAGTAGTAGGAGTAGGAGTCAAGGAAAGGGGGAAGAGAAGAGAAGGAAGGAGGGGGCGCAACCCCTCCCCCTAGTCCAATTCGGACTAGGCCTTGGGGGGGCGCCCAGCCTCTCCTCTCTCTTTCCCCTAAAGCCCAATAAGGCCCATATACTCCCCGGCGAATTCCCGTAACTCTCCGGTACTCCGAAGAATACCCGAATCACTCGGAACCTTTCTGAACTCCGAATATAGTCGTCCAATATATCGATCTTTACGTCTCGACCATTTTGAGACTCCTCGTCATATCCCCGATCTCATCCGGGATTCCGAACTCCTTCGGTACATCAAAACTCATAAACTCATAATATAACTGTCATCGAAACCTTAAGCGTGCGGACCCTACGGGTTTGAGAACAATGTAGACATGACCGAGACATGTCTCCGGTCAATTACCAATAGCAGAACCTGGATGCTCATATTGGCTCCCACATATTCTACGAAGATCTTTATCAGTCAGACCGCATAACAAAATACATTGTTTCCTTTGTCATCGGTATGTTACTTGCCCGAGATTCGATCGTCGGTATCCAATACCTAGTTCAATCTCGTTACCGGCAAGTCTCTTTACTCGTTACGTAATGCATCATTCCGTAACTAACTCATTAGCTACATTGCTTGCAAGGCTTATAGTGATGTGCATTACCGAGAGGGCCCAGAGATACCTCTCCGATAATCGGAGTGACAAATCCTAATCTCGAAATATGCCAACCCAACATGTACCTTCGGAGACACCTGTAGAGCTCCTTTATAATCACCCAGTTACGTTGTGACGTTTGGTAGCACACAAAGTGTTCCTCCGGTAAACAGGAGTTGCATAATCTCATAGTCATAGGAACATGTATAGGTCATGAAGAAAGCAATAGCAACATATTAAACGATCAAGTGCTAAGCTAACGGAATGGGTCAAGTCAATCACATCATTCTTCTAATGATGTGATCCCGTTAATCAAATGACAACTCATGTCTATGGTTAGGAAACTTAACCATCTTTGATTAACGAGCTAGTCAAGTAGAGGCATACTAGTGACACTATGTTTGTTTATGTATTCACACATGTATTATGTTTCCGGTTAATACAATTCTAGCATGAATAATAAACATTTATCATGAAATAAGGAAATAAATATAACTTTATTATTGCCTCTAGGGCATATTTCCTTCAGTACATCCCAATCCACCAGGCACGGTGGCACTGACAGTATTGCCGACCCCTCCCGTACCTAGATGTCAGCCTGCCGCAAGGCTGACATCTGGACCCACAGCGCATCTCGATTCTGGCGGTGCCGCGCTCGCTGCGGGCGCACGCCGAGGAGGTTCGTCGGTGCCGCAAGCTCTTTACGCTGGAGCAGTGCCTTCTCCGTACGTACGCGTCGGACTATCCCAGTTGGGAGGTCTGGTTCGCGTTGGAGCATGAGGAGGAGCACCGCCGCGGTGTGCAGGTCAACCTCGACATCCCCTCGCCGCTCTCAGAGGTCTTGCCGGAGGAGGAGGAGGTCGCGTACCAGGCCACGCTCGAGGCGGCCCTGCTGTGCGCACTGGAGGAAAGCCGGCGCGAGGAGGGCACACAATGGGAAGGCCTGGAGCAGGCCCTCGCCCTGTCGGCGGTGGGGGACTTCGTCCATGCTCCCCTCAACACCTCACCGCTGCCGCAACCCGTCCTCGAGCCCAAGGACGAGCCCAAGCCCATGCGTAGCGTAAGTGCTCGCCGCCGCCACCTACTTGGCATGAGGAGACGTACTCGTGGATCGGTGTGGTCTGCGAGTGGGTGAGCGCGCCTCTAGTCGACTTCGACACAATGGTGGAGAAGGAGGCAACCCACCTGGAGTGCTGGAGACAACACTAGCTCGCGGAGGAGCGGGCTGACGGCGAGCAACAAATGTTGTGGGAGCGCAAGCAGCAGCAGGAGGAGCGTGCCTGCCGCAGCATAATGCAGCCGCCGCAGCAGACGCCAGAGGAGGCGGCGTTGGCGGCGTGGCAGAGCGCTTTCCCTTGGGTTGGGCCGCCGCCACACTTCATCGACCTCACCGGCGACGCCGATGATGGAAAGGGAAAGGGCAAGGGCAAGGCCTAGGGCAGCGTGTGGGCGCAGTTTTTTTGAATGTTTTATTAATGTTTAAGTGGACTTTGGCCGGGGTTGACCGGTCAATAATGTTTAATTATGTTTATTCCGGCCGCATGTTTTCAAAATTACATTTTTTTGGACGAGGGAAAAATGGATCGGCCATCCATTGGGTGCACCGGCCGACCTAAACCAAAAAGCGGACGCGCTCGTTCACTCGGCCGACCCAAACGAACAAAAAGCGAACAAAACACATGTCTGCTTTGGGTCTGTGCGTCGGAGTTACCTGATGAAAGCACGCATACGGACGCTAAAAGGCCCAACCAAAGCCCTACCGATCAGTGGAGCAGGGTGCATGGAAGGACCACACAACAATATTATTTTTACTAAATGACCCCTGAATGATCTTATGTCGCCCACCAACCCCTCAAAAACTTATTTCGTCGCTTGACCCTCCCCTTTCGTGCCTGACTGATAGGCATCTCAGTTGCACGTCGCCCGTGAAGGCGCCCTTGACCGGTCATGGTCCACGGTCGCCGGTCACGCCGCCAGTGTGGTGCCGATCTGACGCGCCCAATGAAACGACGCTATACGTGCTAGAATATCTAGCTTTCTTGCAATGGCGAGCATCCTGGCATCAATACATCAGATGTCCTAGTTGGATGTTCTGATGTACAGCTGAAACGCCTAGGTGATAGGCTCAAAACTTGGAAGTGAACACGACCATCTGTTTGGCGTGTTTCACTTATGATTCACCTTAGGGTTTGGCGTTTCAAAAGAAAAAAAAGTAAGCCCTTCTGTTTGGCGTGGCTGTCTGCCAATTAGGCGTGGTAAATCCTTCACCCGCCTGTCAACTTTGCGTGTCAGGCCGTCGACCGTGCTGCCTGCAAATTTGGCGTGTCATGGCCTCGGCCGTGCCGCTTGCCAATCAGACGTGGCAGGTCATCGACGCATATGTGACGTGCCCTTTGTTGTTTGTCCGCGCGTATGTCATAGGCGTGTCGTGTCTGTCTATTAAAAAAATTTAAGCCGTTTGGTTCTCGTTTTTAGGATTGGGCGTGGTGGAATTTGTCCATTTGAGCTCCACCCCGCCCCCCAACCACCTTCCCCCGAAACAAGTCATCCCCTACCTCTCCACAGAGCCACACTTACAGGTCACCCCACCTCGTCGGCTCCTTGTGTTCCCCACAGACCTGACGGCCCATTCCAGGAAGGCTTGGTACCGGCGCCTGCTCCTCTTCCCTATGGTCCCTCGCCGCATACCCTCCTCCTACCAACCTTGACCCCAACCCCAAATCCCAAGTCGTCGTAGAGTTAAGGGTGGAGACGACACAGAAGCAGCCAGATCTGGCGAAACCAGCAGGTAATCTTCTTATGAATCAACTTCAGAGGATGTATATCAGTTGTATATGCCATATCATTAGGTAATAGGAGGGTGCCAACCAGTGCATATCATTTTTACATATGACGGTACGCCAAACCTGTCACGTGTGAATTGGGTTAATGTTGGCTATATTGCCTTTTTATGTAGGATGGCGTACGGTAACGTAGTGCATTTACATCATGGCGGCGCTCTTAACATCCAATCTAGCAGCACCGGTGTGGAGTTTGCGAACACCCACTTGTTGTCACCGTAGGAATTAGTTGCTGAAGTTAATCAAACACCATTCCAAGTTTGCTCGCCCAAACCAAAGATTCTCAGCAATAAATTCTTGCACAGAGGAGCTCCATCTCAATCAGCACCCAGTGAACTTGGCCAGAATTCCTATCATTAGCTTCCAGTGAATGGCTTACAAAGATTTTGGCTAGCTAGCTTTTGCTGCCGGTGCCATGCATGTATGCATGTGCGCGTGCTGAGTAGTTCATTCACATTTCGGTAGACCTGCAAAGAAATTAAGCGTCCCACTGCGTGTTGCCAAAGAGGGTATAGCTCCTTGGCGGACGCAACTTGGCGGCAGTTTCCCTTTGTCATTGCCATGGGATAGACACCGTCACATGCTTGCTTGTTTACATGCCGAACCGCACCAGACTCTCCTCCTCTCTCTCTCTCTCTCTGTGTGTGTGTGTGTGTGTGTGTGTGTGTGTGTGCAGCTCAGAGTGAGCCTGCTCGACACGTAGTCGGTGTTGGGGAGGCCCCACACCGATCTAGTCGCTTTCCTTCTCTCTCGCTGCCCGGCCACTTAAACAGCCCCGGCCGGCCTCCACCACTAGTGTCGTCGTTGTGCTCTACAATTGCAGCTCGAGCCTCTTCAGGAAAGAAGCACACCCAAGCGACGAACCTCGCTTGCATCCGATCAGCTACGGTGAGTCCCCTCCATCTCCGGTCACCTTGCTAATGTGCTTTTCTTCTTCCTTCCTTCCTGTTGAATGGCGACATGAAATTAGAGAAGGGGAACTAACCTACGCTGTTGCCTAGCTTGGAAAGCCATGGACGCCAAGACGCCTCATCCGCTGCCTCTGAGCGCGGCCCAAAAGCAGATCCGGGATGATGTCCCACTGGTCTGCGCATGGGCGCTCGTCAACGCCTTCGCCATCGCCGGCAGCCAAGCATCCCTCTACATAGCTGGCTACACCCACCTCGCGTGCATCCAGATCCAGGTAACTAACTACCTGCCCGTGTACTACCCCTTGGATGCTTGACATCGCGACCGATTCATCATGCGCCAAGTTGATATGGTGTCCTCTGCAGTCATCATCCATTCTGCCCTGCCTCTGGATCGGGATGCTGTGCTGCGCCGCAACCCAGTCGGCCGCGGCGGCGCTGGCGCTGCTGCTCCCATGCCACCGCCGCCGGGCCCGCCGTGCCCTCGCCTACCTCGCGCTCGCGGTCACTGTCCTCTTCCATTGCATGTACGCCATCCACTTCTGGATCTCCCTCGCCGCCTACCCAGGAGGATACATCTTCGGCTGGATCGTTTACACCGTGGTCATCTGCTACATGGTGGTGCGCGACCTGACCTGCCTGACCGACCTCCTTCGAGGTGATGCATGGTTGGGGCAAGCAGTAGTGTAGTACGCGGTCTATTGGTTCAGCTAGCTAGCAGCAAGCTGCAAGGGATCATGTCCGTGGATCAGCTTATGAGGTACTGATGAGAGCCTAGTTCTAGGGAATAATTTAGGGCAGTATGCATTAATTCCGCAGTGACGATTGATGGAGTAGTGCCGTATTTGCGAATCTAGTAGCTGGTGTAGTGTTAATATCCAGATCGACTCTAGTATTTGGGCTATGCTTTGCTTGCTATATAATTAGACTGGATGGATTGTGGCTATCTTCGATGTATTCGACCTTAATTTTCTCTATATGTGATCGTCAGACATGAGTTATATGCTTATTTAGCACCAGCTTCGGTATAATCGATGCTGCTGAAATTGCTGCTGCCGTGTATATCCATGTTGCTGCTTTGTATAATTCGACCTTTAAGTTTCACAGTTTTCCCACCCAAACAACTTCAGAAGGGAAAATGTGTAGACCCTTTTAAGTTATTTGCTCGAAAAAAAGAGAGTAAATACATGGAGCTAACTTTGCAGTGTATGTGAGCGCCCCATTACAAATACGTGGGAAATCCCAAATATGTAGGCACGAGTTGAGTCCAACTGACAAGTGTAATTCCCACATAAATACCGTTTACATAGAGCTATTGATGGATGACCCCGCCGATGTATACATGCAGATATTGTGCACCCATGTAGGCTAATGGTCTAGACCTGTGTTTTGATTTTCGGCCGAAAAAAATGGATTTCGGCCGAATTTCGGCCATCTCGGCCTGGGGCGAAAAGTATATTTAGGCCGAAATTGCTCAAATTTGGTAAATTTTGGTCAAATTTAAGTCAAATCGCAGTTAAAATTTGATCAAATTTCAGCTGAAATTTTTGAAAATGGCCGAAATTCGTCCATCTCGGCCTAGGGCGAAAAAAAGCTCAAACCGAAAATCAAAACACAGGTCTAGACATAATTAGCTCCCCTTCCCATCCGATGACTCGGATTCGCTCCAAGGATAGGAGTAGGTGACCTCTCGCATGGTCGGGAGACCAACATTTTCGTCGTTGTTCGTGAAGTAGATTGGTTCGCCGATATTGCTTTCCTCGTCATTCGTGAAGTAGATTGGTTCCCCGATACAGCTTTCGTCGTCAGAGATCGACACGACATCGACTAGGTTTGTACTGTCGCTGGTGGTGAAGCTGGTGACGATGCAGTCCTCTGGCGTGTGGCCGATGAGGCAGTTGCCGCAGACAATCGCGACGAGCTGAGAGGTTTGCACGGGCCGCTCTGGGCATATGAAGCCGGAGCAACCCCGAGCCCCCGCTATCCGGGGAGAGGGCTCCGCCCACTTGTTGCCGTTGTAAGGTTCCGACGCCCATGGCGAGAGAGTTTGGGGGCCAGATTGTATGGAGGTTGGTCGCGTGAACATTAAGGCCGTGGGCGACATCAATGATCTGTTGGTCTTGGGGCCTCCTCGGGAGGATGCATTTGTTGCCGGTGATCATGGCAATTGTTGGGTTCACCTTGGTCGTAGTGTTTGGGTGGGCCGCTGGGTTGACATTGACCCGGCCTGCTCCGTCAACGATGAAGGTGAGAGAGCCTAAGAGGCTAAGATTAGGCTTTCTCACGGCGAGAGGCCGCCGAGACACGAAGAAGATCCGATCTAAGACCGGTCTCCAGCCGGCACCACCCGTGCCTGGCGCGCCAACTGA